TATGTGTATGTGTATGTGTATGTATATGTATATGTGTATGTGTATGTGTATGTATATGTGTATGTGTATGTGTATGTGTATGTGTATGTGTATGTGTGTTTGTATGTGTATGTGTATGTGTATGTGTATGTGTATGTGTATGTGTATGTGTATGTATATGTGTATGTGTATGTGTATGTATATGTATATGTAGGGGCTAATCAAATGAGAACTAACTAGTTTGTGATAACCGTGAGCTTCAATATGAGGCAATCATTTAATGATATTAATTGTATTACCTTAATTAATAGATAAAGAGTTTTAGTAAAATGATTAATTATAATTTAAATATTTTTCTTATTTAATATTATTAAATTCGGTTTCCTTAATTATCTCAACAAAATTGTATCACAGTTGTTTATCACATTGTGGTTGTGTGTGGCCTAAAACTCATATATCAATCCATGTTCAAAACGTTATCATAGTGGTATCACAATGTGTATCACAATTGGTTTTGTGTCTTACTGTTATAAATTATTGGGTATCACAGTGTGTATCATATTTGTTTTGTGTTTTACTTTTAGAAATTCTTGGCCGCAGAGAGGGGGGGGGGAGAGAAGAGAGATTTTAAAAAAGACTCATTTACCCCTATATATTGTAAGTAAATTTAAATTATTTGAAAATTAATGAATAATTACCAAAATTAATATGTTTAATAATAACCATTGATTATTAATAATGTGTGGTTGAGATTAGATCTCACAGTTATAAAAAACAATCGAGTTCTCTCTTGATTGGACCATGTATATGTATGTGTATGTGTATGTGAGACCACCCTGTTTTCATGAGACCCATGAGACTATTTTTTTACACTTGAAACTTCACAGCAAAACGTTGTGAATATTAAAAAAAAAAAGTCGAACATTCACAATATTTTGCTGTGATTTCAAGTGTAAAAAAGTGATTTCACAGGTTTCACAAAAACAGATTGGTTCATATGATCTCAAGTCTGTATATGTATATGTATATGTATATGCATATAAGAGGGGTAAATATCGTAAAAAAGTAAGAAACGAAGATTCATATATGAATTATTGAAAAAATTGGGAGAAAATCTATGTGGAGATAAATATGTGAACCGACATTAATATATGTTATTAATATATATTATAAATATGGGTTTATATAGGCATCTTCAAATAGATTTTTTCAATTATTCATTTATGAACTTTTATTTCTTACCTCCTTACAGTATTTAGAGGCCGTTTGCTAAACGCTTACCCAGTAAGTACTTACTTGGCAAATTTCCTCACTGGATGAACATGACAAGAGCCAAGAATCTTATCCGGTAAGAGCGATGATAAGGATGATGAATCTTACCCGATAAATGAGGGTGACGACTCTTACTCGGGTAAGCACTTACTAAGTAAATTGTTGCATAAAAGACGTTTTAATGTACTACAATCTTATCCGATAAAATAAATTATAGTGTTGATTTTTACTGTGAGTACTTACCGGGTAAGCATTTAAGTAAACGGTCATTTAGTCTTCTTATTTGAATCACTCATTGTATGTGTATATGTGTATGCATTATATGGCATTTTACAAGCTTTAGTAATGTAATATGAGAAGAAACAGATTTTGAATAAATCTCAGTAGAACGCTGTGAAGGTAAAAAAAAGTTGAACATCTCACAGCAAAAACACTGTGGAGGTTATCTTCACAGCATTTTGCTGTCGAGCTTCAAGTGTAAAAAAATGGTCTCACGTGATCCCAAGTCTATATACATACGTAGTGTCAATTATAAAACGAACAAATAGTTCCACGATACAAAAAGGTGTTAGGCAATGATACACGTGGATTTAAAATCCTTATTAAATTTACAAAAGTGTTAAAACTCTTTTTTAGATCAAGGCTACATAATACCATCACAAAAGGGGAAATTAAACTCCACTTTCTATAAGATAAACTTGGTTAGGTGGCTCCATGCTTTTCCTTTTGTTGCAGTAACTGAATGCATCAACGGGTTGCACCATAGAAGTACAACCCGTTGATGCCTCGAGGATCACATCTTCTTTCACAACATCTTCGATCGAATCATTGGGGGGTTCTGTTCTACAAACCCCTGATGGTAATTCACTGATCCGAGATTCTATATCCTCTTCTTTGATGCATTTCAGCGTCACAGTCTGATCTTTTATGTTGATTTCTCTGTTTGCATCATGTTTAGAGGTACTGCAGACCGGACGTGCCTCGAAAGTTGGAACAGAAGTCGGCAGTTTTTCCTCTACGCCACTGGTTTTCTTGCCAGAATTCTTGTAAACCAGATATAATACGATCTGGAGTACGCCAAGGATGAAACCTATTATGTTCGGAAGCTGAAATATTCATATTTTCAAAAAAAATTGTTAGTAATGTAAATAGACAGATATGTAATCCTTAATAACAGTAACAATAATACAGAAACCGTATAAACTACAACGGATGTAACCCTGATTTTCTTAGTAGTGAAACGGGAAAATATGTAACCCTAGAAGTGCAAGGGCTAAAAAAATATGCTTTATAAGACAGTACGGATAAAATCACATGGACTTCAAATGACATAATAAGAAGTGCAAGGGCTAAAAATATGCTTTATAAGATAGTACGGATAAAATCACATGGACTTCAAATGACATAATAAGAAGTGCAAGGGCTAAAAGTGACAATAAACTTACTGCAATATAGATGTCCTTTTGAAGTAAGCCATAGAAGAACCACATAATAGCACTCAAAACCAAGAAAAATGACAACCCAAATGGCATGAACTCTACACTCTTTGTTTGTATCACTTTTCTCTGCAATATATTCAAGAATAATATTAGATCCATTTTGTTGTTTGACCCGACCCGACCCGACCCATATAAAGAAAAACGGGTATTCAAGTACATACCATGATGCTTAGAGGTGCTGCGTATACGCTAACAGAAATGACCAAACATATCCAACCAAGAATCTCGGCTCGGGTTGGTCCTTCCGCTAGGTAGTGAGTCGAAAGCGCGATCACCCAAAATCCCACAAAGTTCAACGACACAACCAGCTTCGTAGTTTGAATCTGCAATCACAAGTTCATCTCTCATTTCCTACTACGATCATCGTAAAATCTGCTTGATCATAGGATGCAAAATATGCTTAATAAACTGTTTTATATGACTTAAGTTTATAGGACCAAACAATTGTATGTTATTGTGTAAAAACGCTATGATAAGCTAATGAGACGCTTTTGGACATCTTAACAAGGTTTTTAAGACAATTTTGAAATAATGCATGTGTTGAAAATTAATTAGGGAAAGAGAAATTTAGACGTAAATAACCTTAACGTTCTTGGGGGCGTAAGCGATGTATATGGCAATGTAAAGAGTCTCGATGACACAACCAACGGTGTTAATAGTGATGAGAAGGGTCGCATCGGTTTTAAGAGTAGCGTAATATATCCAAATCATCGAGCTGAATAGAGCCACGACGTATGGTAACGACTGAAACCCTTCGGTCGATCTTTGATTCACGATCCTGTAAAACGTTGGCCTGCATGCATGCATGCATCGACGTTATCGATTTATTACATTTATTCATTTTTAAAATTCAAAAAAAATAATTTATTTGATAAAAATATTAAATAGTAATTAATAACTTACGCAGGAGCAAGATACACCATGAGGGATATGAGGTTTCCTGCATAAACGCAAAGAGGTAATTATAATCCAATAATTAAAGAATAATAAATATTTAAAATTAAAATATTACAAATAATTAAATACCAATTTATGTGGTATTTTAATTAATTTGAAAAATAAAAGAGAATGATTTTGCGTTTTTCTTAAAATATATATATTTCAATAAATAAATAAATACGAAATTGGAGCAATGATTGGTGACTACGTAAAAACTTTTATATAATCTTAAAATAAAAAAATATTTATTTATTTTATTGTGACAAAGACAATTAATTAATAGGGTTTAAGTTGTTTTTACCTCTAAAAGGTATAGAGCTATAATAATAAATAATAAATAAAAATACCAATAAATAAAAACTCAAACTTAACAACTATAGATTAATTTAAGTAAGAGGGTTTTTTCCTACTAACTAAAACAAGCCAAAAATATAATATGTTTTCGTGAGACCACTTTATTACACTTGAAACTTCATACCAAAACACTGTGAAGATAAAAAAATGAACCTTCACAGGAAAACACTGTGAAAGTTTTTTTTTTTTTTATTAATCTGGATATCCAACCCGCTATACGAACCGACTAATCTCAGGGCGACCATCTGCTTTGCAGATAGCCCGAAGTCACCGCATTTGAACCTCTGTGGCCACAAGGGGATTTTTGTTCCTTCTTGGATTTGAACCTGAGACCTCCAGACACTTTTGACCTTTGAAGTCAAGCTCAAACCAATCAGACACCACCCTTATGATTAAACACTGTGAATGTTACATTCACAGTGTTTTGATGTGAAGTTTCAAGTGTAGAAAAATGTCTCATGAAAATAGACTGATGTCTAGATATATATATATATATATAAACTAATTATTAAAAAAAAAAAAAAGGAAGGAAGGAAGAAAGAGAATAAAAGTAGGACCTAAAATGCCAAAAGTAAAAGTCAAAGGATGTTGAAAATTGGTCATGATTTGAAAACTGAAAAATGGGATGAATTCCAATAGGAATCAATGGAACAACATAGGAAGCACCTGGAGCTGGAGGTCACACTATTTATAGCTTACACTAATTAGGTCTTAATTAATTAATTAATGAGGTGTTAGTGTTAATTAATGAATTAATTAATTAGTTGTGTTTGATTTGGATGCAATCATATTTGTTAATTAGGGTTTAATTAATTAATTAATGGGTGTGATGATGTCATATATAGAATATTGTTGGTATTTTGACCACCCAACCCACCATAACAATTAAAGAGGAGTTCAATACAGACTGGAATCACAACTATTCATTTTGGTTTCATAATTTCAAATCTGGAGTTTCAGATCTGATTCTGTTATGAGAATTTTGTGATTTCAGAACAAACATAGTTGTCACTCTAAAAGTTCTTCCTAAAAGATAGTTATAGTTATATATATATATATATATATATATATATAGGGTTGTGTTCACGTGAGATCAAGGGTTTTTCGTGAGACCCGTAAGACCAATTTATGTTCATTGATCAACTTTATAAGTTAATGATCTAATGATCTAAATTGCACGGTGGCAATTTTGTGATTATTGAGAAGTTTCGTGGCATTTATGAATGTTCAGATTGTCATATTGTAAATCTAATTCAAGGGTTGAGAATGGTTCTTACGGGTCTCACGAAAAACCTTTGGTCTTACATAATCCCAAGTCTATATATATATAGGGTTGGGTTCACGTGAGACCAAGGATTTTTCGTGAGACCCATAAGACCAACTTTATAAGCTAATGATTTAATGATCTAAAATTGTACGGTGACAATTTTGTGATTATTGAGAAGTCTCGTGGCAATTTTGTGATTATGAATGTTCATATTGTAGATCTAATCCAATGATTGAGAATTGGTCTTATGGGTCTCACAAAAAACTCTTTTGGTCTTACATGATCCCAAGTCTATATATCTATATAGGGGTTGGTTCAAATGTTAACCAAGATTATTGTGTTAACTTTGTTAACTAATCTTGGCCATTGATTTTTTACAATAAAAGGTTGTGATTAATCATGAAAAAAAATTAATTTTTTAAATTTACATTTCAAAAAACATATGTGAACAAAGAGGAAAAGGGTATTTAGGTAATTTATGTTTTTATGTAACTCCCATATCATTAATTGAGATTTGAGAGTTACAAAATAAAAAAATCACATTATTTTTGTTAATGTAAGAACCATATGAGAACACACACACACAAACATATATATATATATATATATATA